GCCCCCCCGGCAGCCTGGGGAGATTAATGGTGGAGCAGACATCCACCCACAGCCCGTGGAGAATCCCACTCTGGAGCAGAGATGCCTGCGCCCAAAGGAGTTCTTAGACGACTCCATGGGAAGGACCCTCCATGCTGCTGCAGTCTGATGGTGAAGCAGAGATGTGTCTGCAGTCCGTGGGAAGGGACTCCACGCCAGAGCAGGTGGCTGCACCCTACGAAGCTGTGAGTCCGTGAGAAAAGCCCATGCTGGAGCAATCTGATGGGTAAGGATTGAATCCTGCGGGAAGGGCTCACACTGGAGAAGTATGTGGACTATTTTCTGTGAGGAGGGGCCTTACAGAGCAGAGGAAGAGTGTGATGAGTCCTCCCCTTTTTAGGAAGGAGCGGCAGAAACAATGTGTGATGAACTGACCTGCAACCCCCATTCCTCATCCCCTTGCGCCACTGGGGAGGAGGAGATAGAGCCAGGGGAAAAAAAAAGGGGGGGAGGTAGTGTTTTTGACATCTGGTTTTGTTTCTCGTTATCCTCTCTGAATGAACAGTCAACAAATTATTAATTGATTTGTCCCCGAGCTGAGGCTGTTTTTCCCGGGGCCATGGTTGGTGGGTGATCCCTCCCTGTTCTTATCTCCACCGTGGAGCCTTCTGTTACATTTTTCTCCTCTCCACCTCACCAAGGGGGAGGAGCAGCCCTGTGGTAGCTTAGCAGCTGTCTGGGCTAAACCATGACAGGCCCAGAGTCCCTCCCAGTAGTATTTTAATTTCGCAAGCACAGTGTGGCAGCGCAGGTCCGCAGAGCCCCAGGTGAGCTGGAAAGGTGATCAAAATGGAAATCCTGCCTGATGGAGGAGCTTTTTTGGTTCAAGTTTCATCACTGCCTCAAACCAGTGTCTCACCGAGGGGCTTCTTCACAGAGTTCTTTCTCTGATCTCAGATGCACTCTTAAACAGAAGGGTAATAATCCAGGCCCTTCAGTAGCAGCATGGCTGGAAGCGGAAGGCTTTGCTCTCGCAAAACTTTGCACTCATGGCAAAGGAATCTGACCTGAGAAATCTGGTATTGCACCTTGGGATTAAAACCTGAAATGGACACATGCATCATTCTTCACTGATGACAACTAAATTTGAACCTCCACAAAGTACCTTACTCAGGAGGAGGCAGGGAGGATGCGTGGGGGAAGACAAAATGCTAAAAGTCCCTTGAAATATGGTTTCCTTCTTCCCTTCCCACTCCACCACCACTGACCTCATCCAGACCTACAGACCACTTTCCTTCCACAAACATCTCCTCCAAGAACAGCAGCCCAGTCAGCAGATGCAAGTCTTGACGTGTTGCAGGATCCACATCTTAATCTGTCCCCATTCTAAAGGGCAGATACACCCAAAAAGTAAAGTGCAGGGGCCAGTTCCCATATTTACTGGTCTTGCCGACTCCAGTTTGGATGCACTCAAGCATGGTAGGAGTTCCACCTCATGAACAGAGTGGAAACTGACCATCAACCTTGGCTCCCCTCTGTCTGTCTGCACTGCGGGGTGGTTAGGCTAGTGGAGGCCTTCAAAGATACCCCATCCCTTCACTCATATCTGGCACTATGTATATCCAGAAGGAAAAAACCTGAGCAAGAAGAGCTACCTAGAAAATAGTGAACAAAACGAGTTCATTCTTCAGCCCTAAAGCCAAGTGGCCTGGCATGGTTTATGTCCATATGATGTAGAGTGGCTTTGTGACAGTCCTTAGGACATGGTACCTTCAAACAGTGCTTGGACACAGTTCTGGAAGGTGCTTGTTGGCCCTGGCAAAAACAGTGCTGGGGAACACACTAACAATGTTACTGTCTAGATGACGGGAGGTTGGTACTTGAGCTTGTGCCTCAGACCTGTTTAGTTGAGTAGGACAGTCACAGCTGAATAACCCCAGCTACACAGTCCCTGTGCACAGCTGGACCACCCTCTGCTGTGAGGCAATGTGACTTTGCATTAAAGCAATTTTTTTTTCCCTTTAGACCTGAGAAAGAAGAGCAGAATTCACAGCCACTCCTACAGATGCAGAGCAGCTGCCTGGAGCCCTCCCACCCCATCCGAACGTTCCCAGTACTCACAGGCCTCTGGTTGATGTGTCGGCTCCACTCCGGGGCTGTCACAACAGGCTGTGGGTAGGTCTCACCTAGAGTTACTCCTGCTTGAGAGAGAGCAGCACTGTTGAGTGCCCAAGGGGTGTGGATATCTGCTCCTTTTATGCCCTGTAGTTCTGGGACCCACAGCCGGATGTAATCCCCCTGCAAACAGAACGAACAGCACAGGATCCATTCAGTAACAACCTGTAGGTGCTTCCCAGCAAGGGTCTGTCTTAACATGAAAGAAAGAAGCCTGATTTCCAGGTAAAGAAGCTGAGGTACTACAGCATCAGTTACCTCTGTCAAGTCTTAGCCCCTCCTGTTAAATCCCCTACCGAGAATTAAGGCCTAAACAGAGAGACACAGATACTGGAGCTCCTCTCCCAGGCTCACTCTGCAGGCAGTGGGGAGAGACAGAGGTGGTTTTTGGGTTCACTTGCCCTATTTAGGACATAGTGAGATGAAGTCACTCCCAAGGAGTCCTTTTTTTCTTTCCAGTGACTGTGAAAGAAACTAGGGTGACTGGCCTAGCTGCACACTCACCTCTGTGCTGGGAAAGATGAACCCCCCTACCTCAAATCTCCCATTAATTCTACTGCTGTGTCCCCTACTAGGACTAATTTCTAACTCCTTGCAAAGTCCTGCCAGCTACCGTGCTGAAAGGCAACCGCGCAGCTCGCCATGATGCTAAGGAACAGCGTGGAAACAGGTGATCTGGTATGTGAACACTGGCTAAACACATGGAAAGGGCGATTTATCTGCTCCCACCACTTATAGAGGGCAGTCAGAAAAGTCACAGATTTAATCTACTCTCCAGGACCTCCCAAGGTGCCATGTAAGCAGCTTCATCTCTCCTGTCAAAGAATCATAGAATGGTTTGGGTTGGAAGGGATCTCAAAGATCATCTAGTTCCAACTCCCCTGCCATGGGAAGGGAAACCCTCCACTACACGAGGTTGCTCAAAGCCTCATCCAACCTGGCCTTGAACACTTCCAGGGATGGGGCATCCACAATTTCTCTGGGCAACCTGTTCCAGTGCCTCACCACCCTCAGAGTGAAGAATTTCTTCCTTAGATCTAATTGAAATCTCCTCTCTTTCAGTTTAAAGCCATTGCCCCTTGTCCTATCACTACACACCCTTGTCAAAAGTCCCTCTCCAGCTTTCCTGTAGGCCCCCTTTAAGTACTGGAATGCTGCTATAGGATCACCCTGGACCCCTGTCACTTCTGAGTTCTCCAGGAAGCTGCTCTGTGCTCAAGGAAATGGCTGTGTGAGATGTTGATGGGATGTGGCTGTTACCCAGAAGAAACGGTGACAACGCACAGACCAACGGCAGGGCAGGGAGGGCGTGCACAAAAGAGAGGAGCAGGTTGAAAACATCAGATCTTCCTGTACAACAACGAGGAGTCTGCCTGACTGTCAGCAAGGAGATCACACAACTGGTTTTGCAGCACTATCCACGCAGCAAATTGATCTCCTCTGTTCCCTGAGACTATTATATATGCTTGGCTGCACTGTTCACTGTAAAACAGCCAAACAAGACTTACATTGCCATCGTAATCCAGGCCTTGTTTAATCATGTTGAACTTCCTGTTGTCCCGTGGGTCGTTGCCAATACCAGCGCTGTATAACCAGTTGCCGTAATTGCTACAGACGTCGTAATCCACCTTGAGAACAGAGGAAGGAAACAGTAAGAGCTGGGCTGGCTCTTGGTGAATCTTCTCTCCCTGTCCACCCTTTATCTCAAGGGGAGAATTCCTTGCACAGGAATCGGTCTGGCCACACTGGGGTTGTCAGAGCTCTGCCATGTAGGTACAGCCATCTGGCTTAGAAGAGGACCATGCTCCATGGCTGTGTGGTACAGCTGGGATCAGCTTCCCAGGCTCCTTCACTTCATGGTTCTCAGGTTAATAAGACAGGTCAAGTCCAATCAAAGTTTCTTTCTCAGTTTCCTTTTTTTTAAAAAAATCCTTCTCTTTCTGCCCTCATCTGGCAGACTTCATGACAACTAGCCCTAGCTTTTGAGTGCTCATATTCCAAGAAACAGTAGCCCAGTGCATTTCAAATACCAGAGCAAATTCTTCCTGACCAGTTTCCCAGAGACCACAGCCTAACAAAATCATCTCTGCAGATTCTACTAGGCAGACTGGAGAAAAGTCAAACTCAGACAGTACCGATTGACCACATGGAGCGTAGGAAGATGCCATCAGTACAAACCCGCAGTTGTTTCCCTGCCATACTCAACCTTCCTCGGGCAATAAGCCTCAACTCAGAGACTTGGCAGAGAGAGGTGCTTCACTACGGGAAACACTAGACCTTTCGTGACATACTCAGTAGGCTGCACATCATCAAGTTATTCTACATCTAAACAAATAAAAAGCTCTCGAGGATGCTTATGTAAACCAGCACGACTAATGAAACAGGCACAAATGAGAGCAGAACGTAGTCTAGATTGGGTGCTCTTCAGCTGGGCAAGGTGGCTTCAATGCAGTAGCAGAAGCTTTCCAGTTGTAGGACAATTCAAACCTGGCTCAGGCAGGGAGTGGCAGTGATAGCAAATGGGGTGTGGGATCTCTGAGCATTCCTAGGAGAGGTGTTGGCGTTGCGAAAGTGCAGGGCTGGCAGCTGAGCTTGCAAAGATGCATCACTACACAGGTTCAGTGCTGTTCTCTCCTTACTGCAGCTGCAACCATTCCACACGGTGCCATTTCCAAAAGTCTCAGCTACTCCTTGGAGTGGGGAGCTCAATGCACCCAGATGCCAGAAGACACAGGGGAATGGGCTGTGCCAAGTTCCCTTCCCCTTTCTCTGCAAAGCCCGCCAGAGCTGGGGTCAGGGTGATCAAGAGCCAGCTCTGCTCACTGTGCACCAGGCTTCCCCCTCCCAGCAGCACTTCCTCCAGCCGGTGAGATAAGGAGGGGAAAAAAGATGCCATCGGAGGCCTGATTGCGCGATTAACGTGCAGGAAAGCGTGTGTGGGAGGTGAGGGCAAATCCAAGGGGGACTGGAGGAGGCAGGCTCATTTCCCCTTCAGTCTTGCCCCTTCCTGGCATTCTTTTCTGTTTGTTTCTCTGCCTTTCCTTGGGGCCTGACCCTGTGAATGAAATCATGGCTGAGATATTCTCTGTTCAGGACGCCAGAGGTATCTGACCTGTCCCCTGGCTTCAGGGGGTTGCAGAGAGCTTGCCTGAGTCTCCCTGCCCGTCTTGTGTGGATGACACTCCCTTCTTCACAGGCACACGCAAACACTCTGGGCCTTTGCTGGAAGTATTAAGAGATGGAAAATGCATTGCTTTCCCTTTCTGGAGGCAAGTGAGACCAGTTGCAGTTCTGCACTGGCCTCTACCATTCTATAGCCTTATCTCCCCCACCGAACAGATGTCTCCTGTATGTTACTCTGGGGATGCCACCAGGTTACAGTAACACAGCTGCCTAGCAATATACCAGTGTGACACAAGCTGAGGAAGGGACAGAAGGATGCGAGGATCAGCCTGTGCCACACCAACCTACAGCAGCACACCCCTACACCTGGGGCTTCCCGAAATGAAAGGGCTAGTGCAGAGTTCCAGTGAGCCGGGGAACATTGATGCTCATATGAATAAAGGTAAGTAATACAGGGAGCATCTTTCCAGCGTGACACATTCCAGGTCTTCCTCACTTGGGGAATAGAAGCTGGAATCTCCCGTGGCCCTCTAAGTCTGACTGCAAAGTGAACCAAGCTCCTCTCTGAGGAAGGCAAGGCTGCCCGCCCATCAGAGCAAAGCCTCAATTCCTGACTTCCAGCTCTTAATCAGCTGGTGACTTTGAGCACGAGGCTTGCCCAAACACGAACCAAGCTGCCCTCTCTGTGAAACGATGTCACCTCTGTAACTGCTCCGAAAGCCATAGCTGATAGACACCACCAAAAGCCAGGTATTACAAACCATTCCAAATGATCCTAGTGGCTCACTCTGCAGGGCAGGCAGGCACAGACGTGTTCGTGCAGCTGCATGTGCTGTGCTGTTCTTCTGAGAGGCCACTGTGTGTCACATACAATGCACTCAGGCTACAGGAGTTGGATGGTCCATACTGAAATGCAGTCCCTGCTTGGCAACTGACTGACACAAAGCTTAGGGCATGCAGGGTATCGGCTATCTTGTACAACTCACTGAAACGGCAAAAGAAACGCTCTCAAGGTAAGATTTTCCATCCTAAATTCCAGCCAGAATACGAAAGATAAGGCCACCACTGTTCTGATACAAGTTCTCTGGTGCCACATGCTGGGGGCTCTCACTCTTATCTGGATGGAGCTACCAACACCACTTTCTGGAGGATCCTGCAGAAGTCCTGCCCCATGTTACTGTGCAAGCCCACCACAGCTCTGGTGTGAGTCACAGGATTGGGAAGATCTTCCTGTAGAGCTCCACAGCCAAAGCCATGTCAGAGCCCAGCTCCAAGGAAGCTCAAAAAAATAAATTACATTCACAAAAAGGCTCTTTTAATTGCAGATAATGGAGAGGTGACCAGGCTTTCTCTGTACCTCCAGCCATCCTAGTCAGTAGAAAGTTTCCTGATTTCCAATATCTGTATCCTACAGACAAGATGTTTAATGTGAGGCTGATATTAGTCTTTTTCAATCTGTACCCGTTAGTCTGGTGAAGATCAAATGCAGATTATTACCTCCTCAGCGTCACTTTTCACCGCTCAGCTTGGTGCTACTGATGATCTCTCCATCAGCATCACCAGAGATGATGGCAACCAAGCAAAGACATGCAGAGCTGTACAGGGGCACAGAGGCTGTGCTTCTGAACTGGGGATGGCCAGCCCGTTTAGACCTTCCTGGGAAGAATCTGCGGGGACTGAGGACGGAGAAGCAACCCAGCTATTTAACTGAGCTTGCATGGCTGCTGATTGGCATATGAGAAATGAATTGGTGCTCCAGTTGGTAGGGAGGCCGGTGACTCACCAGAATGAAGAAGGATGCCTCCAGCCAGGGTGGAACTCTCTGGAACCTGATCTAGCTATTGTCCCTACTTGCCTGTTCTTGACTAGATGAATTCCCTGTCCGGAGCGATCAGTGCAAAGACTCTGTGCCAACCACTGGCTTCAGTGGCCAGAACACATTTCTTTTTATGTTCTATTTCTGGGCTGTCCTCCTCCCCAGCCTCTGGGCTGAGCAAATCAGAGCATTGTTAACACAATTTATGTTTGAAAGTTTCCTCAAGTGTGACATATCTCTGGCTAAAACCCTACATGGAGGATCAAAACTATCATTGCAAACTTCCTAGATACATCTTGGTTGACAGCAGCTTCACTGTGGCAAAATTCCCTTTTCTTACGTGAGCGTTGGGAAGTACATGCCATGCACACAACGTACACATGCACTTATATCAGCCTGAAAATTACTGACCATCTTCTGCATCATTCCTCACTAGGCACAGCTGTTCTCCTGTCTGTCATCCGAGCAGGGAGCACAAACTCCAGACGCACAAAGGGTTCAGTCTTACCAGCAGGTATTCGAACCATTCCGCCCCCATCCTCCAGTCCAGACCCAGGTCCTTGGTGAGAAAGCTGGCGACGTTCTGCCGCCCTCTGTTAGACATGAAGCCTGTCGCAGCCAGCTCTCGCATGTTGGCATCGACAAAAGGAACGCCTGTCTTGCCCTCTGCAGAGACAAAAGGCAGTGCTGGGACATTTCTGGGCACTCATAACCAACCTGCATTGCAGCCTTCCAGTACTTAAAGGGGGCCTACAGGAAAGCTGGAGAGGGACTTTTCACAAGGGCAGGTAGTGACAGGACAAGGGACAATGGATTTAGACTGAAAGACAGGAGATTTAGATGAGATATAAGGAAGAAATTCTTCACTCTGAGGGTGGTGAGACACTGGAACAGATTGCCCAGAGAAGTTGTGGATGCCCCATCCCTGGAAATGTTCAAGGCCAGGTTGGATGAGGCTTTGGACAACCTGGTGTAGTGGAGGGTGCCCCTG